GGTACACTCATACACTTCTGGTGGGACAGCAAATTGGTGCAGCCAATATGAAAAGCAGTATGGAGATTTCTTGGAAAATTGGGAATGGAACCACCATTTGATTCAGCTATCCCTCTCCTCTGTCTATACCCAAAGGACTTAAAAACAGCATACTACAGGGACACAGCCACATCAATGTTTATAGCAACAGAATTCACAATAGCTAAATTGTGGAACCAAGCTAGATGCCCTTCAATAGATAAATGGTTAAAAAAATGTGGGATATATGCACAATAAAGTATTACTCATCAAAAAAAAAAAGAATAAAATCATGGCATATGCAGGTAAATGGATGGAGTTAGAGAAGACAAGACTAAGTGAAATTAGTCAATCCCCAAAATCCAAATGCCAAATGTTTTCTTTTAGATAAGAAATCTGATTCATAGTAGAATAGGGAGAGGGAACATGGGAGGAATAGATTAACTCTAGATAGAGCAGAGGGGTGGGAGGGAAAGGAAGTAACTAATAATGGTTCAATGTGATGATCATTATTATCCAAAGTATATGTATGAAGAAACCAGTTGGTGTCAGTATACTATGTATACAACAAGATATATGAAAAATTGAACTTTATATATGTAATAAGAATTGTAATGCATTCCACTGTTATATATAAATATAAATATAAATTTAAAAAATGTTTTTAAAATAATGAAAAAAATAAGAAAAAAAACAAAAGAAAAAAGTGTAACATTAAATTTAAACGTTGATAAGCACCATAAATATAGATTAATAAATGGGAAAGCCCATTAGAAATTTTTAATGATTTTTGTCCTACAACAGAATTATTATAACTGTCAATATTTAAATACATGTGTATCACATTGATAAAACAATTTAGCTTGTCAAATATTTATGAACCCTGGAGGTCATATAGCAGGAAAGATTGTTAAATATAAAAATATGTACATAAAAATTTTCTTTATTTACATCACCATTTAAGTTGTTAACATTATCATATCTTTTCCCTATTTTTCATTTCATTATCTGTTGTATCAGAAATATTAGGCTATGAAATTTCATAATCTCTTCCATATTTTAACCTGCTATATTTTGAAATTGTCTCAGTGAATAAGAGGTCTGCTCTACCTTAACAGATTTTATTGAGATTTGATGGTAAGAAACCAGATATATTAAGACTCAACATTGGACTGTTTAATTGTATTCCCAAAGGTGACCTCCTTGGTAAGATTTGGGAAATGAATCATGAAAATATATTTTTAAAAAACATAATCATAAAGATAATAGTTGACACATTCATTTTTGTATTAGAAATATTAATGAAAAATCATTAATTACCTAAGTTCTTTATATTTACTCTCTTTTCAGGGAAAATGGAGATTAATCAACCCTTCACATTTTATTATACATGGCATAATAAATTATCTAAATTTCAGTTGTAATTACCTCTCTCAGTGAATTTTTTTTCAATTTCTGCATTGTATCTTTTTCTTCTATTTCTGCAATTTTACACCTATACTTTGACATACAACAGAGCTATTTGAAATACCATGAAAAAAGATCCCTCTCCTTTCTCACAATGTTCTCTGCATTTTCCATTATAAAAAAAATCTTTGATTATAATTGTGAACTGTACTTCAATTCATGATGAAGTGTCATCAGTCCTA